TGCAAATGTTTCACCGTTGCGCCCGCCCATTGGCTGCGGCGCGCCCACATGCAAATAACTCGCCATTGCGCTCGCCTATTGGCTAGAGTGGCGTCGTGGGCGGGCGGCACGCCGCAGCGCTCCCGGGTGCTAGAGCTAATTTGGGCTCGTGGCCGGGGAGCTGGGAGCCGCGCGCAGGGGCCGCGCGTAGGGCGGCCTGAGAAGCCCCGGGTTCGAGACCTTACCTCGCCGACCGTGACCCCTGGCAGGGCCAGCGTGCGGCTCGGTTTTCAGAAAGCGCGCATCGTAGGCTTCAGATCCGGGGCGTGGACCACACCCGGGTGCACTTCCCCTTCTAGGTTGTGTGCTTCCTCTAGGGTCTCCTGCCGCGAACGCGCTCCAGGGAGGGCCAGTGGTGCCACCTGACTTCCTCGCTGACTGAAGATGAGAAGGAGGGTCTGTAGGCAGCAGACACCTGCCCAGGAAGGTGGCCAGGTCCGACAGTGCAGGGCAAAGCGGCCGTGAGCCAAGGCTGTGCCCAGGCCTCCATTTCCCTCCCGCGCCTGGACCCGACCTGCTGCGGGTTTGCCTCTTGGGTCGGGAGGCTAGCCCACATCATCTGTGTCAGGGCCTGGCTGTTCAGGGGACTGCCACCTCCCTGCCCTGTCCAGCTCATCTCCACAGTAGGGACCTGGGTGTTGCCAGGACGAGCCTGGCTCAGAGAGGGGACACAGGTGCAGGAAGCCCAACAAATGTCCTTCCTGTAGTCGCTCAGCACCTGTCACCTGTCTCAGGCCCCTGTGTCAGGTGTGTGTGAGGGGTGGGGTCGCAGAGGCAGCCTGGGTGAGGTGGAGAGTGGGTGAAGACTGTATCCTCACCCAGTTCTGCTGTCCAGGCCCCATCCCTGCCATCACCCGGGCGCTCTCCCTGGGTCTACCTTCACTTGCCAGGGTAGGCAGGCTCCCTGTGTCCAGTCCTCTTTCTATCTCCCCCTGCCCTTCCAAGCTGGCCTTCCACGACTCTGTCAGGCCAGGGAGGGAAGGTGAGCAGCTCTGCTGTCTGAAAGAATGTGGGGTTGGTCCCAGGGGGTGGTGGGGACATGCATTCACTTGATTGGGACATTTCTGAAACAGGGCTGCATATGGAGAGTTGCAGTGTTGGGGACTGCAGCAGCCACTGTGGGCTTCAGCCTCCGGCTCCACCAGTGGTCACTGGTCCAGCCACCAGAGGAGCTCACCTCCATGAGTTTTATGTCTCTGTAAAATGGGGGGGATGCCAACCTTATCCCTGGGGCTCCTCTGGGAGAAGGGAGCTGATATGTGGAGTGCAGAGCCCGGGTGAGGCTCACAGCGGCTCTCAACCCTTGCTGCTCTCACGAGGACACCCTGGGGAGGGTCAGTAGGCTCGGGGTGGGGAGAAGGAGGTGTGGGCCACCCTCAGGGTGCCCTGGGCTCCTCCTTGTGCTGCTCTGCCAGGCGGTGAGGAGCTGGCTCGCGGCTCTTGTGCGCCTGGCTGATGCTGTGCTGAGCCTGCAGGTGCTGGAGGCACACAGAGGCAGGAGCAGGGCTCCCTCCCTGGCCCGGTGTGCTCCCCATCCAGTGGTAGTCAGAGAGTACAGGTGGTGGCCAGAGGCTGAAGCTGGCCAGCAGAGTGGTTGGAGGACACAGCTGGCGCTTTATTCCATTTTGGATTAAGAACTGAAGGACTTCTACCCTCTCCTTCCCTCTCCCTCTCTGTCTCTCTCACGCGTGTGCACACACACACACACCTGGACTTCCCTTCTGGGTCTCAGTCCCTCTGGCCTCTCAGGTCAGTAGGCAGACAGGCCGCAGTCAGCAAGGTGTGAAGCCTGTTAGTGAGGCCCAAGCCTTACCTCTTTGGTCATTACCCGTGTCCCACCATCCCTATAGGCATGAGTTTCAGACTCCCAGCTATGGGCATCCATAACACCCTTGATGCTGTGGCCACCCCTGCCTCGTCCTGGCCAGAGTGGGTCCTCCTTACTCAGTTATGGTCAGAGTTTTCTTAGCAGGCATTATGTGAGGGCATGGTAGGGAGTGTCCTGGCTGCAGATCAGCCCTCGGGTGATTTCTAGTTGTTCCCTCTGCCTGACTCCCCCTGAATGTGCACCTCAACATCGCTCCATATCCCCCTCCTGTTTCTCCTGCGTGACCTCTGGTCTGCTTCCCTAGAGTTCTGATTTTTGTAAACTTTCCACAACACATGAGCCCTGTGTCTGCTCATCACACTCCTGCTCATCCCTCAAAACCCAAATCTGGGTTTCAGATGCCCTCTTCCTTGGCCTTCGCAGGGATGGCTTCTCCCTCATCTCTCCCCACACTGAGCCCTGACCCTGTGCCTTGGTCCAGTTGCCCAACTGAGGCTCCCTGAAGTCCAGCTGAGATCTGGGGGCCTCTGTCTCTGCCCCTCTTTCTGTGCAGGGGAGCTGTGCATAGACGCCTGGGAGTTGCTTAAAGCGCTCTCAGGTCCTGGTTTGGTGGAGCAGGGCCCAGGAGTCTGAGTCTCAGGCTCCCCTGGAGGAGCCAGAGGCAGAGGCAAAAGTAGGAAAACCGTCCTGGGTGCTGCTCTGTGGGTGTACTGGCAGCAGGAGTGGGGCCAGGGGCTCAGAGTGTGCCAGCGAGGAAGGGGCTCTGCCCAGGTGGGTGCCCTGCTCTCGTTTCCAGCCCTTCCCAGAGGGCACCTGGTCCCTTCAACGGCGAGAGGGCTGTCTCAGTTCGGCTCGTCCATCCCAGTGCAGTCCAGCCTCTCTTGGGTCACCTGCCTAGGTGGGTGAGGCTGGATGGCCCACCTCTTTCGCATGTTTATTCTCTAGGCTCTGGGACCCTGTCTGGGAGGGCTCTACCAGACATGGGCTTCCGTCTGTCCACGTTGCTGGACTCCACTAGGAGGCGCCTGAGACCAAGCCCGGAGCTCACACCTGGTGGCATGGGCTGGGCGGGGTCCGCAGGCAGGGTCTCCAGGGCCTGGAGTGGTTTGTGGCATCTGGAGGTGAAGGTGCTGCCCAAAAGAGTGGGGGTGGGGCTGGGCTGGGGCCCCAGCAGCCCCTGCCCCCGCCTCTCTGTTCTGCTGCCCAGAGAGAGCAGGTGCCCAGCTGAACATGTGGGACAGGTAGCAGGGCTTGCAGAGATGGGAGAACAGCAGGGTAGAACACCAGCCAGAGGCCATGTCTCCATCTCGATGGCCCTGTCTGGAAGGGCCACTTGCCAGGCCATCTGCTGGTTGGTGGGGTGGCCTGTCCAGGCTGGTCAGGTGGAGAGTTGCTTCTGGGCAAGTGTGGTACCCCTTGGCCTGGCCTGGCTAGGTCTCCTCCAGGCCACTGTTGCTGTGTGAGGGACTGCAGCCCTTGGTGTCCCTTGGGCTCCTGGGACCCTCAGCTGTGGTCAGGGACTCCTTTGGCTTCCTTCTCCCTCGGGATGGCTTCTTGGAGGCTGTAGGAGGTAGACCAAGTCAGCAGAGGTGTGGCAGTTCCTTAGATGGCTTGTGTGTCCTCCCCCAAGGTGACAGTGACTCTCACTAGGGGTATTGAGTGCGGCCTCTGTGAAGCCAGCTGGTCCCCCTCCTCTGAACAGCCTTGGACTTCCAGACCTGGAGGTTCTGGTAGGAGGGGCTGTGACCCTTGAGCCTCCCTTGCTGCCCTGTGGAGGTCATGCTGGATAACCAGGAGCACATGGGTGAGGCTCTCTGTGTCCTGAGATGCTGGCCAAGTCCCTCTATGGGTCACCCCTTGTGCTGGGGCTGAGGCCAGAGGAGGGACTGGGCATGGTTCTGATGCAGGACACACTCAAGAGACCTGGCCCTGTGCACCAGTCCTGTGACCTCGGGCAACTAACCTGTCTTCTCTGGGCTTCAGCTTCCCTACCGTGAAAGCCGTGTGACCCAGAAGCAGTACCCACTCCCTGCCCTTCCCATGGACACAGGATGTGAGTGTTCTGTCCTGGTTGGGCTGTTGGTGCCCTGCCCTGCAGAGTGGGTGCCACACATGTGGAACGCATGGCACCTGTTATGGGAGCTGTGGACTGTGCCCATGTGGACTCAGCCCCCTGCCCACCATCTCTCCCCTGGCCCAGCTGGGAGGGCAAGGGAACTGGAGAGTGGGAGGTGACACCCTGGGACCTTGGCAGTTGGCCCCTCAGCTGGGGCAGTTTTCACACATACACAGCAACAGAGCAGGAAGGCCTGGAAATAAGGCAGGTGTGCTGGCCTCGGCTCGAGCAAACACCGGCCCAGTCGCCTTCCGGGCAACAATGGCGCATTGTGGTGGCCGCAGCCCAGCCTGCCGAGTCGCAGGCACTGCTTGGACAAACCTCAGGCTGCACAGTATCAGCTCAGTTGCTCGAACGCTCTGCATGTGCTCAGATCAGGAAGTGGGAGGCCGCCCTGGTACTCTGGACCCAGGGCTGAGGCCCCCCCTGGCCTTCCCGGGAGGAGCGGCCCACAGGCCCCACCCTGGGCAAACAGTGGGCAGCCCCTGACTCTCCAGCGGGCGCCAACACCCATGCCCAGCGGGATGTGTCTGTCACTGATGCCTGCTCCAAGGTGGACAAGTGTGTCCAGGGACACCTGGATTCTTGGGGGCTCCCTGGGGGCCAGGATGCCCATTCTTCTGGTGGTGAGGCTCTCCCCAGCTCTCTGCTCAGGCCTTCCCCCTGTGTCCCACTGAGACCCCACAGAGCTCTAGTGCCAGCCGCCTCGCAGGTGAGGGAACAGGCTTGGCTGCACCGTGAGGAGGCAGTGTTGTCAGGCTCACCGAGGTCGGCCCTGGCTCTCTCCTCTTAGGGGCCTGTGCCTAGAGGCCCGGGACTCGTCTCTGGCTCCTAGGGATGCCACCTCTGAGCTCCAGGAGGAGCAACAGGGGAGATGACCCAGATGCAGTACCACCCCCTGCCCTTCCTCCTGGCCCTGGCGTGGTACCTTGGCCCTCCAGGTCCGAGGCCCGCTTCCTCTTCTGCTGCAGACCCTGCAGGCACTGCCCAGCACTGGCCTTGGAGCTCAGGCCCTGGGTGGAAGGGGACACTCAGCGAGGAACACCCCACTGCAGCCTGACAGTGCTGCTGCCGGGGCCCGCCCAGGCGTGTGACCAGGGACCCACCTCATTGTCTGAGGTGTCTGGCTCGTCCCGTTCATCTGACTGTGGCCTCTGTGCGGTGGCCTTGCTGAGCTCTGAAGGACATAGGGTGCCAGTCAGCCAGGCTGGTGGCTCTGGGCGCCTCCTCAGCCTGTCTGACGAGGTCAGGAAGAAAAAGGGAAAGGCCCTGCAGTGAGCACTGGAGGGGCCAGGCTACCTGCCCCAGGTACCTCCTGGTCAGAGGCAGCTGGAGGTCTGCTGCACCAGGACCTGCCTGCGGTGGTGCCCTCCCAGCTCGGCCTCCGCTGGCTTGGGGTTTGAACACCCCTCCTGCTGACCGGCTGAAGTGCCTGCCCAGGCTCAGCTCCGTCTGGCTGCCCTAGACGGGTGCTGCCCGTGAGGCCCATGGGCTGACACTGAGCCTCCCCCCATGGGGGCCTCATGTCCCCCTGGACTTTCACGGCCCTGGGCGCTCACTGTACCTGGGGCTTCGTCGGTATCAGGCCTCTGTGGGTGGGGTGCTGGCCGTGACCTTCCTGTGGCCTCACCTCCTGTCCTGCCAGGAGAGGGCAGGCTGGGGTGGGGCCCTGGGGGAGGGTGTGCAGGGTCCTGGGGAGGCAGGTAAACGGCTTCAGTGTTTGGGGGCTTCCCTGCCCGCACTCAGCCCTGGACACAGCCCACGGGACACCTGGGCTGTGGCTGGAGGCCAGCCCTTCTTTTTTCAGAATTAGGGAGGCAGCCAGGCTGCTCCTGGACACTGCCTTGGCAGGTGGTGGAAAGAGGGCAGCTTAAGCAGTGTGGGTGCTTCAGCAGGGAACGTGGGGACCAAGGACAGGGGCTGAGTCTTGGCCAGCGTTGGCCCCTTACCATGGGAGTAGGGGACTCTTTGGGCTCTGGTGCTCTGGTCTCCTTGGTGCCATTGCTGAGTGCCTGGGGGCTGCAGATCAAGGGTCCAGACAGGGTGGGTGGCTCTGGACTGGGAGTGTGGGCAACTGCAGGGCTGAATGGCCCAGGTTGACCAGTAGACTTGGGGGCGTCTCGTTCCCGACCCCGGTCTGAGAGGTCCAAGGGCTTGTCTGGGGCATAGTCCTGAGTGGCTGTGACCTCCTTGCTCCGAGGGCTGACTGGGCCTGTGGGCTCCGCTTGCCACCTGCCAGGCAGGTCTGCTGGGGCCAGAGCTGCTCCGGGCACCTCACTCTCAGGGATCTCAGAGTCCAAGCCAACTGGCGGGGAGGGAGGTGTCTCCTCTGGTGTGGCCGGGCCCCGCAGCCTGGCGCTGGCCGCCCGCTGTGCCCGCAGCTGCTGAGCCAGGAGTAGGTGCAGTGCGCCCTCCAGCCTTGGGTCCTGCATGCCCACCAGAGTGCCAGGCAGGCCCAGCAGGCCCACAGGCTCTTCCCAGGCCTCTGCCTCCCTGGCTTTCAGGCTCTGGGGCTGGGCGCTGCTATGGGGGGTCCGCAGGGGCAGGGGCAAGTGGCGGTTCAGAAGGCAGAGGCGGTCAGCCTGAAGGGAGCACTGCAGGGACTCGTAGGTCAAGGCAGAGGACTGGGAGGCCCGCAGGAAGCTGTGGGGGAAGAGGCCCAGTGACTACGACCGTCAGTCAGCAGTGACTGGCCGAGTGAGCCCCCACAGGGCCCCCGTGTCAGAAAACGGAGGAGGCTTGGTGAGTAAACTGAGGCCCAGGGGTGAGGCAGGTTGCCCAGGGCAACAGGCACTGACCAGGCCCCAGCCCTGTCTCTGGAGGCTGAGCCCTGGAGAGGGTGTGGACCTGGCCAGAGGCGGCTGGGGCCTGCACACGGAGGCTCCCCTCTGTCCTGGCAGGAGTCTACCAGCGCCCTTGCCTGGAGGGCCCTTGCGCTCCTCTCCGCCCTCCAGGACGCTGCTCACTCTCTGATAGTGAGCCACGGGCTTTGTGCGGGCCCTTCTGCAGTGCTGCCCACCTCCAGCTCCTGTGCCTCCTGGAGAGGTACCTCATGGCAGCTTTGCACCAGGACGGATGCCCAGAGGAGCCAGAGAAGGACAGGGCTCTTGGAGGGATAATGAGGGCACTTCCTGGGCTGCTGCTCACTGCATAGGGTAGGTCCAGAATTTGGGAAAGGGAGCCACTTCTGGTGCTGGGAATGCCTCACCTGTCCAGGGGGAGGCTGTGCCTGTACGTTGGACTGGGTGGGTTGCTCCTGGCGGACAGCAGTGGGGGTGTTCCATTGGCAGCGCCCCGCTCGGCTGGGCAGGTCTGGGACCCAGGGCGCACCACAGCAACTGTTGCATGCAGCTGATTGGCGATGCACTGGGGGCTCTGCAGAGGGAGGAGGCGTCCATCGGGCCGCATCACTGGGGCCCTGGCCTTGCCCTGTGTGAGTTTGGATCGTGCCCCACCTCGCCTCCTCCCACACCCAGTGAAGCCCAGGGCCCTGCTGGCACTAGGGACAGGCATGCTCGGTGTGAGGCTGACACCCGGTTCCTGGTGCAGAGCAGAGCTGTGGCTACCAGCCTCCTGCTGGGGCTGACCCACTTACCATGTCTGGGGCCCGCGGCTCGGACAGGTTGGCCCCCGGGGAGCTTCTGGCTACTGGAGATGTCCTGTAGCCCACCAACTTTTCTGTGGGAGGAGAAGCAGTGGCTCAGAGCTTGGGAGATGCCCAGGGGATGGTGGCTCAGCCCTGGGCTGAGGGCTGCCCTGTCCATGGTGCCCACCTCCCAGCTCTCCCCAGCCCCATAGCACCTTCTCCCCGTGGACCCAGCTGGTCCTCAGCCTCCTCATGGCCTCCAGGAGGCTTCTCAGTGACAGCCTTCCAGCCACTGGGGGAGGGGAACAGCAGGGGTGACGGGGGGTCCGAGGTGTCCTCCTTGGCAAGGGGCATGGGCCTGTCTCTGGAGCAGAGGCAGAGACAGAGTGGTGAGGTGGGCAGAGCCCAGAGAGGGCAAGAAGCACCAGGGCTCCCTGCTGGTGCCAGTCACTTCAGGGGACACCCAGGTGACCCTGGAAGTGCAGCCCTCCCCTCAGGGTCTGATGTGTGGGGAGCTGGGGACCTGGGCCTGGCACCCTCTCCCACTCACTGCAGGCCCTGAAGCCGCTTCACCTCCTCCTTCAGCATCTTGTTCTCCTCCTTCAGCCCGCTCACCTCCTTGGCTGCAAGAGGCAGTGATCAGCAAGCAGCTGGGGGACAGCCAGGGGCAGCCCCCTTCTGTGTCTGGCTTCCAGTCAGCCCCCCACTGGGCCCCGGACCCGCCATACAGCAGGTGCACAGAGGCGTGCCGCATGGCAGATGTGTGATGGTACTGAGGGAACCGTGCCAGCCTTAGGGTGTGGAAAAGTGACAAGATGGCCCTCCGCCTGTATCTGGGGCTCCCTCCGAGAGAAGGGGCTGCCTGTCAGTAGGACCAGTGGAACCTTCTGGGTCACCAGGAGAAGGCTGAGGCCCTGGGAGGCCCCTCAGCTCAGAGTGGGGTGCTCGCCTCTGTTCACCTGCCGGCTGGCTGCCTTTCCCCTTTCCCCACCACCCGTGTCCCTGGCCTGGCAGAGGGGACTTGGGCCCTGCCGGGCAGCAGGCTCACTGAGGACACAGATGCGCTGCAAGCTCTGTAGGTGTGAGCTCTCGAATTCCAGCTGCTTCTTCCTAGCCAGCTCCTGGGTGACCACGCAGCGGTCGCACAGGCCAGCCCGCAGCCTGTGGGTGGGGACAAGAGGCCGCACTGAGAGGGGACTAGGCCTCTTGCTGCCCACCTCCTGGACATGCCCCTGCCTCGTCAACTCCCAGGCCTGTTTCCACCCGTGGGCTTATGTCCCATGTCCAGTTGAATCTAGGAAGGAATCTTGTCGTTCACGTAAGGCTCCGAGAAGCCCTGTGGTGGGGCACCTGGCCTGTGGGCTGTCGGGCCCCCACCCAGTGCCCCGCGGGCCCCGCCCACCTGTTCTCCAGTACCCGCAGGTTCTCCTTCAGCGCCTTCTGCTGCTCCCTGAGCTGGTGGTTCTTGGTGAAAAGCTCCTCCACCCGCTGTGCATCCCTGCAGAATAGCGGCGGGTGGGCGGGTGTGGCCCGTAGAGAGGCCTCTCTGCAGGGGCCTGTCCTTCAAGTGGGCCCTGCAAGGTGAGGTCTAGCCCTGCTGTCATGTCCCCTGCCAACCTCTGGCTGGTCCACCTGCTACCTGCTCAGCTATGGCACATGTAGACCAAAGCCCAGTTAGAGACGGCCATGGAGAGCCAGGCCTGTGTGCCAGCCTGTGTGCCACCCGCGAGAAAAGGCTATGGCCTTGCGATGATCCCCTGGGCCCTGGGGAGAGGGCCTTGCCCAGCTGCCTCAGGGCCTGTCCCTGGTCCAGTCCGGCTCCACCACCGACGTGCCGTGTGACCTTGGTCAAGTGGCTTCCCCACCCCCATGCTGAGCCTGTTTCCCTTCTGCACTGAGGAGGGTGGCAGTGCTGGCGCCCTGGGCTCGGGTCCTGCAGCTGGCCTTACCCTCTGCCCAGCGGGCTGACTCACCGGCAACGCTCCGCATTCAGCTCCAGAAGCTTGCTCTGCAGTCCTGGCCGGGCGGGCAGAGATGGGAGCAGGTCAGGCGCAGCCCTGCTGCCCCCTTGCAGAGGAGGGGTCTGGGCAGAGTGTCGAGTTGGCGCCTCCTGTCCTGATTGTCATGCGGGCCCTGTCCTGAACCCTGTCTCCCGCCTGGAGCAGCTCCTGGAGCAGCGCCCTGTCTGCACCCACTCCTGGGACACGGGGGCTGCCTGAGGCCTGTTCTGGGCCCAGCTTCTCCTCTGCCCTGGGCACTGTGGCTCTGGTGTCCGTCTGGAGATTAGAGGGACCCCAGTGCTGGAAGTGGCTGGCTACCTGGCAGAGGCAGAGAGGCCAAGAGGGGCTATTTTTTGGGGGGGCTGTTAATGTGAAATTAGCAGGCTTTTGGGGGAGACCCAACCTCCCCACTACATCTCTGTGATCCAGTGTGGGTCCAGCCAGCCTGGGGCTGGGGATGTCCTGGGGGTCTTGCCTAGGCAGCCCCACTTCTCTCAGGTGCTCAGAAAGCAGCCAGCCCCTTTGGCCTATGGTGGCTGTGAGCGCTTTATGAGAGGGAGTCTCAGGGAGTGGCTGACCTGGAACTGTGCTGGGGTGGGCAGAGGGGCTGCAGCCTGGCCCGCGGAAGGATTGGATGGAAGCGTGGGGTATGGGGCATGCCCTGGAGGGAAAGAACTTCTGCTCAGTGTCCTGAGCAGGCCCTGGAGCCACGTGCTCTGACCCTGGAAGTGGAGGACCCTCTGGGAGAACATGGCATGGACACACACAAGACTGGGCGCGGCAGGAGGCCGTGAGGTATTGGTTGTGACCCCTGAATGTGCGCCTCTCCTGGGGCCACATTCTGAGGACACCCTGTGTGACTCTGGCCCAGGTGACTTTGCAGCTAAGACTCCACTTCTTGGGCCAGAGAGACGGGACCCCCAGATTTGCTCACAATTGGAGGTGGTGCCTGGAGCCCCTGGACTGCACTGCCCCTCAGGACCATTTGCCCAGATGAGGGCAGCGGGGCCCCTTGGTGCCCAGCCACTTACCCAGGACCTCCTTCTCATGGACGTCCTTCAGCCTGTTCAGCGACTCTGTGAAGCTCTCCATGGCTCCCAAGCCCTGGTCACTGTGTGCCGGGCATGTGGGGGTGACCGTGGCTGTGAGCGCCCTCTGTCTCCAGTCTGCAGAGGAGGGGTGGGGAGAGGGGCTGCTGGAGGAAGGGCCTGTGTGTTGCACCTGCAGCACCTACGGGGTGCCAGGGGACCCTGACCCCACATCAGGTGAAGAGTGTGCAGCTGGAGGACAGAGAGCTGTCATCCTAGGGTCACCAGTCCCCCTGAGCGACCCTGTACTCCCAACAGTGTCCAGTCACCAGGCCTGGCATGGTTTCTACTCGTAAGCCCTGGGCCAGCCCACCCTGTCCTGCTGTCCACCAGGCCCCTAAACGTTTTCTCACCCCCAATGCCACAGCCTGACAGGGCAGGCAGCCTAATGCAGATGCACACATGATGAGTGACAGACATCTGTAGACACACACGACACACACGCATATGTGTACATGTACAGATGGATGTGCACACGCACAGTCATCTAGGTACACACGTGCATGCACACACACGTCAACATGCAGACACACATGACTGTACGTGTAATATGGGCTCACAGCGCCCATGCACACAGACACAGCAGCCCTCATGCCTCTGCAGAGGGGCCTCTGACCACTGGCTCCCTCCCTGCTGTCTGCCTCCCTCCCTCACAGGTCCCAGGAGAGCTCAGTCGGGCAGTGGACCCTCTGGTCCTACAGCTTGAGGCCAGGTCAAAGGATGTGGGGTTCTCACTGGCTGGGTCCACAGTCCTGGGGTCACAGCACACTTGTCCTCAGGCCCTTCTGGGACTTTCCAAGTTTCCAGAGGCCTGAATAGCTCACAGGTGGCAGGAGGAGTGAGCTTAGGGGTTGGCCACCACCCCTGCCCAGAGATTTCTCCCAGGCCTGGGAGACTGGGTCACAGGTTGGGGGGCTGGGCCAGGCCTGGCCTGCAGAGTCCTTGGGAGCTTAGTATGCTGGGTGTTTGCTGCACAGAGAGCCCTTCTGGGGACTGCCGGGGGCCTGTCCTGAGGCTGCCACCGCTGAGCGGCTACAGAGACCTCTGTGCAGGGTGGGTCTGGTCACAGTCCTTGGTGGGGCCCTGTGCCGTGTGGGTTGCGGGTGTCTCAGGTCCCAGCACTTCTCCTGAGTGGCGCCTTGGGCCCTGGTTTGACACAACCCCCTGTAGCTGGGGCGGAGACAGGCAGCCACCATGGGGCTGGGGCTGCTTGCAGCCAATTGTTTGGAGAAGGGGACCAGGCCTTGAGCGTTGGCTCCCTCTCCAAGCCTCACCAGGAGCAGCATAGGGCCTGTCCTAGACACTGAGCCGAGCCCTGCCTCCAAACCAGGGAGGTGTCCCCTCCTGGTCTTTGGTCCAGGGAAACTGGGAACTCTCCTGGAACTGGGGTCTCCTGGCTTGTCAGCCCTGGAGTCTCCCTGGTCTGTCTGCAGTAACCTTGGGCTTTGCCTTCTGTATAGACCCAGAGTCTCACCACCTTGCCATCTCTGCCATGGCCGCTCATGCCCAGGCCTCCCTTGGTGCATAGGCCTTTGGCCTCCCTGGCTCCCTGCTGCCCATCTGCAGGACACAAGGTCCCTTCGCCATGGGGCTACAGGGCCTCCATGTCTGCAAATCTCCGTTCTTTGCTCAACCTGGAGGTGGGCCTGTGATACCTGCTGTGCCAAGGCCTCGGCATGGCAAGTGAGCCACAGAGGACAGAGACAGTCTTGCCTGCACCTCAAAGACTTCCTGAAGACACCTACACACTTGTTCAAAGCAGCAAGGAGCGCGAGAGCCGGGGGTGGCTCTGTGTCTGGAGGGTGAGTCCTCTGGGAATGGGGAATGGGAACCAGAGCTCGCCTGATAAGGGGTGTCCTTGTAGGTTGAAGTGACACACAGGATGCTGGGGTCCAGAGGCCAAGCGGAGACCGGGGCTCAGGTCACATGGTCACCCAGCGGCTTTCCCAGAGTGCCATACATGCTGTTACCCTCCCACAGCCATCTCTCTCCAGTGGGGAAACTGAGGCTCAAAGAGGTCACCTTCCTGCCGTGCTCAACGGGGCCGTGGGAGCTGGCCTTGAACTTGCTCAGGGCTGCACGTCCCACTCATTCGCACTGCATCAGCCTGGGACATTTCCCAGGGAGCTGTGAGCCTTGCTGTGCAGACCTAACCTCCATGAGGGTCCTGGGAGGTGAGACGGGCTGGGTCCTTGGCTTAGGCTGCTGGGAGGCCAGGCTCAGCAGGCAGGAGGGCAGAGCTGCAGCACCTGAAATTCCACCCTGACTTGCCCGGCTCACCCAGCCCTGCTCTTTGCTGGCCTCCAGTGCCTGCCTGTGGGCTGGGCTGACGCCCACAAGGGAGCCACCCCAGGGAGCCTGTGGTGCCCATGGGTCCATGTGAGACGGGAACTGTCCCCAGTGAAATCATGGTGCACAGAGGCAGGCTGGCAGGCCTGGGCCCCTCCTCCCAGGGCTCTCCTCTGGGCTCTGAAGGCCAGCAGGCTCTGCCTGGCTGTTCTTAGAGACCCGGAGGGTGGCAGATGCTCTCCTGCACACTGGGTGGGGCAGTGGGCCCAGGGGCCTGCAGGCAGAGCAGAGCCCACCAGCCTCTGGGAGATAGTGCCATGGGGATGGTTGCCTTCCCTGGTGGTGGGTGGCAGAGCCAGCCTCCTGGGCTTCTGTCACCTTCAGTGTGGCCTGGTCCCCAGCATTCACTCTCCTGGAGTGTTGGGGGTGGGCAGGGTGGGCCCCCACCTGGGGTGAGGTCTGTCAGCTTTGGTGCTTTGGGGCAGTAGTGGGCGGCACGAGTGGCATGAACTCAGGCTGTGAACACACGGGCCACACCCAGCAGCCTGTGCCAGGGCCAGCCAGGAGGCCCCCCAGGAGGCCTGGCCTGTGTTCTGGGCTTGCTGAGGGTGGCCGGGAGTGCAGGGAACTCCGAAGCAGGGTGGGGTCTGCCCAGGTGCCAAGGCTGGGGCGGGAGCTTCAGGAGGTGAGTGCCTGCAGGCCCAGGGTCGGGTCGCTGCCTCTGAACTTGGGGGGCTGTGCCCTGGGGAGGGGGAGGGCAAGCTTTGGGGGGCTGTGCAGGGCAGGATGGATGGGGTGGGTGGAGATCTGTGCCTGAGGGCCCCCAGGCAGGCCCAGAATCCTCCGTCCCTCTCACTCCGATCCCCAGCTGGAAGGTGTTGCAGGACCTGGGCCTCCCTGGAGGAGCAGATGAGGGTCAGGGATGAGGGGCAGCTCTGACCTACCTGCTGAGAGAGGCTGGGCCTGGAGGGGCAGGTGCAAAGGGGGTCCTGCCGCCAGCTCCTCAGACCCTGCCAGGCCTTGCTCTCGGCCCCTCTGAGGGGGGGTTTCACTAGTCAAAGCTGGCAACAGGCCAGGCTGGACCTCAGCTGGTGGGGGTCTGTGCCTGTGCCTGGTGCCATCTCCTTAAAACCCCTGGCAGTGTCCTCGTCCTACCAGCACTGAGCAGAGCTCGTCAGACAATGGAACCGCTCCCCATATGGGGCCCAGGAAGGCCCTCCACCGTGAGTCTCAGTGCTGGGAGCCACGGTCCTCCACATCCCCATCAGGAAGGGCACACACTGCAGGCCTGCCTGTCTCCCAGGACCCCACTGAGGCTCAGGTACCACTATCCCCCAGGTCTCCCACCTGCCCCTCAGGGTCCCTGGAGTGGCTGACCAGAGGAGGTTGGGCCAAAGTCTCAGTGCCCCAGAGGAGAGGGCCACCTGGCATCTGTCTGGACAGAGAGCTGAAGGCAGGGGGTTGGTTGTGTCTCCCATGTGGCCTGGCACTGTGCCTCTCTGAGCCTCTGTCTCCTTATCTGGATTGAGGATTGGCCCCACTCACATCAGGCTGTGGGGCTCTCACCAGCCTCCCGTGCTCAGGTAGTGCAGAGCGGGGCAGGTTGTGCAGAGTGCCTGGCAGAGGGACCCGTTCCGACAGTGCCTCCCTCACAGAGAGACCCCGGGGCTGGTGGTGCAGCCTACAAAAGCCTCTCCTCAAGTGACCAGTTCAAGTTTCACGCCCCAAAAGACCCTCAGGAGGGCCAACCCTTCCCAAGCCCAGGCAGGGCCTGGGTTCCACAGTGACTCCACATAGCTGCTCACTGGGGACAAGGCCACATCTCTTAGTGGCCACTCCCAGGGGAGGTGTCATCTATCCCTCACACCAATGACGTCGCCATGTTCCCAACAGAACAGGCACCCTCTGGGCCCATGGCAAAGCCCACGGAGGTGCCCACTGGTGTCCTGCCCCTGGCTAGTGTCCAGCCTGAGTCCTGCCTTCAAGGCAGATGGGTCCTAGGATCCTCAGGCTGCCCCAGGGAGCATGGGGGGGCCTGTCCCTCAAGGGAGCTGACCCAGAAGAGCTGCTGGGCACCGTGGCCACGCACGTCTGCCCAGGCTGGTGCCCTCCCTGGCCTTCGTCCCTCTAGCAGTCCCCTGGGAGGAGAGCTGGGACCCTGACTCTGCTCCCTTGTGAGGAGGGGCCATCTGACTATCCACCTGTCTACAAAAATAGTGATGATGGCCAGCGGCATGGCGGCCACCCTGCTCCTCGCACACACCAGGGTTGTCTTCTGGCTCTGGGGAGTTTCCTGAGGAGGCTGAGCTCTGAGCTGTGGCCTGGCCACCACCTGCATCTCAACACTCTGTCCAAGTGACTCCCCCGCCCCCACTCGCCTCCTGTCTGCTGCCACCCCGGGGCCAGGCACACCATCAGAGCACACTAAATGTCTGCAGCACAAGAGCTTATGGAGCACCTACTGTGTGCTCAAGCCCAGCACACACATGTGGTCAGAGCCCGTGTGGCCGAGGAGGTGCTGACTGGGCCGCTGCACAGATTCGAACACTGAGGCGCAGAGCAGCTGAGTGGCAGTGCAGGATTTGAATCTGGGCCCGGCTGGCCCCGCCTTTCCTCCAGCCTCTGTGGGTGGGGGCTGTGCAGTGCAGGGCAGAGCCCGCCATGGTGACCTTGGCCAAGTCATTTGCTGGGGGCTGGTGGGGATGTGCCACCTTGGGCTGTCAAAGCTCCTGGCCGATCAAGTGACGGGGGCTT